CCCTGATTTCTCAATCAAGCCAATGATTACAATAATAAGAATGATAAATTAAGAAAAACGAATTAAAAACAAATAAAAAGTAATGAGCGAATAGCAACAATGAAAACAAAAAATAGGGCGCCCATAGAAAAAAGTTTAAAAAACTTCTGTTCGAAGTGCAGAAATTAGAGAGGTTATTACTCTTGTGATTGATTATCCTGCAAAACAACTATAGTCTAAGAGAGATTTTACAGTTTATTTATTTTGTATTAGTTGAATGAGGCTAGAGAGCATATGTGAGTTCCACATTTCAGTCCCAAAGGGGCTGCGCTAACAAGCTTTTATAAGGCAAAAGAGATAAGGAAATTTGCTTTAATCTTTGAAAAATCCATCCTCAAGGGAATGAAAAGATCTAATGAAATACATCTTTTATTTTCCATAAGATAAATGATAGAGCTGTGACCATCGCCTCTTTAAGAAACAACAGTTCTGATATTCTCTATTATCTCACTGCAGAAACCAATGTGTAACTTCGCATATCACATATGTGAGTTTATCTATTTTTATTGTAGCTGCATATGAGTAAACATTAAAGCAAATTTCAATGTTTCCTGTACGCTTTATATTACTAATTGTTTATTACTGGTCATTGAAAATCATGGCCAAAGAACAACCGATCACAATGGCAGCATTGGGACGTCCATTTCATTTGGGTATGCTCTATGATACACGTAGTGATAAAATAATCACTGGCGCTACTCTTTGGGATCCTCAAAACTTGGCCAACAATACAAGCACACGTAAACAACCGTATACTGGCTTTGAAATAATTACTGAAGATTCATTTCAAAATAAGGCACAAGCTCTAGGAGTCGAAGCTAGTTTGAAATTAAGTATGTTTGGTGGATTGATCAGTATATCAGGTTCTGCTAAATACGCTGAAGATTCGCAGAAAACAAATCATGAAACACGTCTGACACTAAAATATTCAACTACAACACATTTTGAACAATTGACAATGAAACATCTTGGTGAAGGTAACATGAATCATCTATATTTAAATGATAAGGATTTTGCAACACATGTCGTTACTGGTGTCCTTTATGGTGCTGAAGCATTTTTCGTATTTGATCGTACAATATCGAATACTGAGTCTAAAAAAGAAATTAGCGGTAAATTACATGTGATGATCAATAAAATACCAACATTTCGAATCGAAGGAGAAGCTAAATTGAATATGAACAATCAAGAACAGAATTTCATCGATAAGTTGAATTGTAAATTTTATGGTGATTTTCGTTTGACTGAAAATCCAAGTACGTTTGGTGAAGCGGTTAGAATTTACCGTCAGTTACCACTGCTGTTGGGTAAAAATGATGAGAATGTTATACCAAAAAAAGTGTGGCTCTATCCATTAAATTTATTAGACAGTAAAGCGCAGCGTATTGTTCGAGAGATTTCATCGAATCTGATTGATTACTCAATTTCGGTGGTTGAAAAACTGCATTCTTTAGAAGTGAGCGCATTAGATTTATCAAAAAGTTCAATTTTTACATATTTTTATCATATGAAAGACCATTTATTAAACTTTGTCACGCGATTGTCGGAATTTCAACGTGATTTGAAAGAAAAAATTGCATTGTATTTACCAAAATTACGCGGGAACACAGGCATTGAAGAATCTGTTTTATTTAATTTGTTTAAAGAAGTTGATTCATCGCCATTTAATCAGCGAAAATTAGAATCATGGCTAGAAGAAAAACGAAAAGAAATCTCGCTAATTACCTCATGGATCGAAAATATCGCCAAAGAGACGAGCTTAAACATTACGATTAAATCCTCGTCATTAATTGAATTCATTGGTGATACTCGATATAATTATATACTCTGTTTTTCATTTCGTTTGGTTGAAGAAGATGATCAGCAACTTAATGATATGTACAATTATCGATATCACAAGACAAATTTTAACTCGTCCAATAGTCATCAAAAACGCGTAAAATGGTTTGAAAACAGCCGTACTATAGCGAAAATTCGGAAAAACTTACGACAATTCGTTGAATTTGCCACGGCTAACAATGTTGAAAATCTAAAGATTAAATTCATTGTTGATGAAGAATACTCAGTTGATAAAGTAAAAAGTGCTGAACTTACGCTCTACAATGATGAATCAGAGAAACTAGACTTCATCATACCAAGTAAACCAGGTGCACCGTATGCAGAATCTGTTACAGACAATGATGTAACATTAAGATGGACAGATGTAGCAAGTGGAACTGAACAAGTAAACAAATACAAAGTTATGTATCGGAAATACAGTAGTGAAATATTAGCTCACAAAAATGACAGCGTGGAAGAAAGCAAGTGGACTGACATAGATACAACGGCTAATGATACGGAGATAGTTATTTCAGGTCTGCCATCAAACACCACATTTGTATTCAAAGTGCAAGCTATCACAGCAATCGGACTTAGTGCAATTAGTGAACTTAGTAAACCTATTAGCACACAGGCTAAGGAAGAGAAAGATCGTAAGTTGGCACTTTTTGTTTGTCTATTGTAGATCTTTGTTCGAAACACTATTTGACGTCTTCTTTTTCTTTTCTCGCTGAAGTCATCAAGTAGATTCCCTACCAGTAAACGGTGTACAAACTATCTAAAAGTGACCAATTTTAGGATAAATCCTACCAGAACGTTACTGAAGTCAATGGTGGATTCGCGTATTTTCATCTAATGTGCTCTAGAATGCGTTCTCAATCGTGCTGAAGTCATGTTCCAGACCAAATGAAAACTTCCTCGGCTCTCCTTTTTGCATAAATCGTATGACGGGCTCAATGAGGGTTCGTCTATTCGATTTCTCTCTTCTTTCATCTGGCTTTTAAAAGACTTTTCGGTTGTAATATTGTCCCTGACTCGCTTGTAGAATGCAAATGTGTGTGACTGTGAGTCCGCATGTGCTCGAAGCTGAGAGAAGACCTACAATTATATCCATATTGAAAAAAACGAAGCGTGCCAAAATCATTTCTATCCAACTCAAGCAGATAAGAATTTGGCAATACGCGTTTAAATGCCGGAAAAAGGAAAATTTTCAGTGTTTATACAAAAATTTTGAGGCGTGGTCTTGCAAACGCTAATAATTTTGATGTTTCAACATGAAAACGCGCAAAAATTATCGTCGGAAAATATTTATCCGTGCAAACGATAAGATTCTTCATTTTCGTAGAATGTAAGCGCTGGTTTTTTCCACTGTGAGTTTACGAATGAAAAGTCTTCACATCAAACGTTTTCAGAAATTGTTTTTTTCTGCGTTTTAAAGTCATTAAATAATTGGCGTAGTTCCACTCAAAAGATACACATTCACAGCGTGACAACGCCTACTAATTTTTGCTTATTTATTTCTGGGAAAACAGCTTTATAACATCAACAATATGAGATTTTGACCGTTTTAATTTCCAGAATTTTTGTTTCGACTTATTTTAGAAATCCTTCACCATGTACACGACTCTGAAATTACACCGAAATGTTTTTCACCCGCCTACAGGCTCAGAATTGAAAAAATCTTATCCTTTGAATGCGTGAGAAAAAGGGTGTGGGCACAATAAAGACAAAACTAACACCCACACATCCACCACACCCCGTTTTTTGTCGTTTTTATTTCAAGCATTTTTGGGTGACAGCAGGGAACCTCGGTTGACATCCGAAAACGCACTGATAAAATATAGTGTTTAAACGCGTTTTTTATTTCTATTGTCTGCTTAGAAATCAGACAAAAATTTGGAAAAACGCGTTTAAGCGCACAAACGGGAACCGCGACTGTGACCCATTCACGCCCATTAAGAAAACGCAAAAAATGTTTTTCTTCAGTAAAATATTGACTTTCAGAGCATGAAAACGGCATAAAATGTAAAAGGTAGCTGTTAAAACGCGCTTTTATTCAAGTTTTTAAAAATGAGGCGTCTTAACGCTCACTTTTTACATTTTTTGTCATTTTTTCGCTCTGAAAGTCAATATTTTACTGAAAAACTGCGCTTTTTGCGTTCTCTTAATGCGCGTGAATGGATCACAATAGTGGTTCCCGTTTGTGCGCTTAAACGCGTGTTTCCAAATTCTTGTCTGCTTGGGTAAGACATTTATGTACATTCTGAAGAAAACATCCTTAAAAATTGTATGCATCAGAATGTCATTAAAAACCAACGAATAAACACTTCAGCGTTCAAGACAAATATTAGAAGTTGTATCCTTGTAAGAGATAACAGAATGCATATATGCTTGAAGATCAATTAAGAGAACTAAAATAGTTTCGCATGTGCATTTGCTCGAAGGTGTTCCACAATATTCAACACTAATTCTTTATTTACTCGTCCGACTTTTTGGTTGCATATTAATTCAACCCACTTTTTAACCTATTCGTCTCTTCATTATCATTCAAATCTACTATCTTTGGTTCAATAACTAATGTTTATTTGGGAATATAATCTGCATGAAAAGTCCAACTTTATAGACCTCTCTGATTCCTTTTTTTTAGAGTTCTAAGTCATTCAACGACACTTCTATTAAAAAAACGTACAGGAGATCTTTAAAATTATTCATTGTTGTGCTCAAAGTTTGATTTTAATCTGATTCCCTGTATTCTAGCATCGTTATGAATTTTTATTCAGATGTGCGATATCATACAAAAAAGTCTTCGCGAATTGTTTATTTATCCCTTTATATTAGTCTTCGGATCAAAGAGGTACTGTTAGGAGTGTCATTTTACTGTACTTAACATACATCTACACCTTCTGCTACTCATTAATAAGTTCTATCCAGAAGTTCAATGAAACATGTTCTTGCCAGTTCACTCGATGAAAATTCAGCGACGAAGAAGTAAATCCTGTCTTAATTTAATGATAGTGATATACGGTCGAAGTCTGATGTTTTCTGTATTTTATAGCCGTGTGTTCATCACAATGTTTGAATGGTGGAAGTTGCACAGGACCAGACATTTGTACTGTAAGTCTACGACAGAACTACCATTGAAGGTAAAGATGTGCTGCATTATATTTTAGTGTACATCATCATGGATCGGATGTCAGTGTGGGACACGTATGTATGCATTCATTATTATCTGATTGACGTCGTTTTAAATTCGATGAAATAACCACTTTCTTATTGTTTTCGTGAACTTTCATCAGTGACTGTGCAGATTTTTCGAGTTTCTTTTTATTGAAACAAATAATTGGGTTTTGACGTTTTGTATTTTGTAGCCGTGTGTTCATCGAAATGTTTGAATGGTGGAAATTGCACTGCACCAAATACGTGTACTGTAAGCCTACATCAGGGCTTTCATTGAAGGTAAACATGTGCTGTATTATATTTTAGTGTGCATCATCATGGACAGGATCTCAATGTGAAATATGTACGTATATAATTGTCCTTGCTCAAAACTATTGAACATTTTCTAAGTACACCGACAATTTTGTCGGCTCATTGCGACTGCGTGTGTGGATAATATTCTTGTTTAAAACCAACGTAGCCCCAGGAAGATCATTTTTTTAAAATAAGTTTAAACGCATTAAGGCTCTGCAATAACGCTGTTTAAACGGTGTATTATCGTTAGCATGTTGTTATTACGGAAATTTTGGGTGTGGGTGTGTGTGGGTGTGGGGTGTGGGTGTGGGGGGGGGTGTGGGTGTGGGGGTGGGTGTGGGTGTGGGTGTGG